CGCGCGGCTGCCGGGCTAAGTCATTGTTAACAGCCTAAGAAATTATCTTGTCTCGGCGCCCTTTCTTCTGCTGGCGAGCCAGGTAATTTTCTTAAAGCGAAAACTCCCCGATCGTAACTTCTGAGCAGCCTGCCGGCTTCCCCCCCCGCACCCCACCCCCCGTCGTGTCCGCTGGTCCTCCGCCAGCTGGGTGTCCAGCGGAGTCCGAGAAACTTTTTTTTTAAAGGAAAAAAAATGCTAATACCTAACTTGTCTTTCGATTCATAATTGCGATCGTTAGCTAAGTGGTCTGGAATTGCATTTCACTCCAGTTCTCCGCTTGCAGACCAAACTGAAAATATCCCCAAGTCTGCATCAGAAAAAAAAAGTTTTCTCATTTAGCAGTTCAACTGTTAATCCAGGGTCGGTACTAATTCCCTAACTAGATCCACTACGTAGCCATTAATTAATAGCATTTTGAACCAGAAACATATTTAACCTTGGAAAAGCAAAGAAGCTTCTCATGGTTGTAATTGAAACTTAAAATCCTTTGAGTAACGATATAACTGTTCAACCAACGAAAGAAAAATGCAGGTTTAAACTGCATTAACCTGTCACAGGCATACAAACAAATTTCCACGCTGAAATATAAATTATAGACTAGCAGCGAGATAAACACATTAAAATGGACTCCCACAATTTTAATAATAGAAAGTCACGTTTCCAATTAGGCAACATCTTCTATTTTTCTTTTGACAAAAATTAAAAATAAGAAAATACAGCCAATGCTATAGAATGCTCAGATGGTGCTTATGATTGTGGAAGTTTTTCTTTTTTTATAATCAAGTATGTGAGTAATTTCTTTTACGTGTCTTCGTTGCTTTCAGTTTGCTCTTTTTCTAAAAAAAATTTGCAACACGTAGAAAACAAGCAGGACAATTCTAAAATAGACATCACAGTTTTGGATGTACACAGGCTTTACTTTTATAATGAATCATGTACATTTTATTTGTAACCAGTACGTTTTCTTCTGAAAATTAAAAAAATACAGATGCAGCAAGAGTAACATACGTTCATGTGTTTACTTACTAGAATAATCAAATGGGGTTTTGCCAGGTTTGCTTCAGGGTTTTTATTTATATTAAATGTTACAGAATTGAATGTCACTTACTTTCCTCCCCAGTCTCATTCACTTTTCTTCCTCCTTAACTTCCCAAGGTAATGAGCATTATAAATTGTATATCCCAGCAGCATTTGTTATACTTTCCTTAGTCAGTGACCTATATGTATAAATATATATGTATCTATCCATGATTATCTATTTTAAATTTTTCATAAATGATACAGTAGTGTACTTACCATTTTGCATTTTGCTTTTCTCCCTCAGTGTGATTTTGAGAACTCCATGCAGGTGCCTATAGAATCTACTTTATTCATTTTAGAAGTTTTAAACTAATATTGTCAGCTTTATTATTGTTAAGGAGATTCCATTTTAAAACTGATAATTTTTGCTAAAGTTGCTTGCCTCAGAATTTCACGATTCACAGTCTACACATTAAAATCTCTAAGAATTCTTTACTAGCTGTTTTTCTTTTAATTTTATATTTAGAAAAAAAGTAAAGATATTTTAAAATGCAGAGTATAAGCACCCATGTACCAGTTCCATATAATTAGTAAATGTTACCATTTGTCATATCTGCATCAGATCTGCCTTGAAAAATTGAACTATTAAACATTTCTGATAAAAACTGAAGCCCCCTTTGCATTCTTCACAATACTATTCTCTACCCTTTTCCTCAAAAGCAAACACTATCATAAATTTGGTATGTAACTTTCCAGTGTAGGCGTTACACTTTGCATATGAACTCATGTGGAATATTGCTTTGAATGATTTTAAAATATACACATGTGATGATAGACTGTAGATATCATTGAAATTTGTTTTTTTCCTTCATGGTATATTTTTATTTTTTCTCTTTATGTTGGTAAATATAGATCCAGTTCATTCATTTTAATCTCCATATTGTTGATCCATGCATATGAACGTGCCTTGTTTATTCATGCCCTTATTGATGAATATTTAAGCTGCTGCCAATATTTTGCTATTGCTTGTACATGTTTTCCTTGCACCTATGTGAGAATTTCTCTGTGTATCTACCTAGCTGGTGAATTGCTAGGCTGCACACACATTTTCAGTTTTACTACCAGCTACCAAATGGTTTTCCAATTTGTGCACCCCTCAGCAATGTATGAGAGTTCTTATTTTCCTTGCATGACATTAAGTACTTTCTCAATTAAGACTTTTCTTATTTCTGCCAGTTTGATTTTTAAAGAATTCGGTGTCTTCTTGTTTTATTTGAATTTCCCTCACTGCCAGTGAGATTGAGTGCTTCATATATTTATTGGCTGTTGAAGTTTTTCTGAGTTTGTGATTTGTTTTTTCAGTGTTCATTCATTTTTCCAATAGGCTGTGTATGTTTTTATCTTTTATCCTTTTTGATTTATAGGAGTTCATGTGTGTAAACATTCAGCATATTGTCTCAATCTACAGCTTGTTTTAACTTTTGATGTCTTTTGTACTATAGAAAATGTAAAATGCAGTGATATTCACTCTTCTCTTTTTTAATAGTTTGTGCCATTTATGTATTATTAGGGGAACTTTACACCAGATGTGTGAAGATATCCTATATGTCTTTTACCTTAATATTTTTAAAGTTTTGTTTTTCACACATAAAATCCATCTATCTATGGCTTATCTTTTTGAATGACATAAAGCAGGAATTAAATTTTACTCTTCCCCTCAGCCCCAATATAGAAAGCCTGTCATGATCTGATGTACAGAAGAGTCTTCATATCCCTATTATTGGGTAATGCTACCATGATTATAAATTAAATTTCCATATATTTATAAATATGTTCCTAGCTTGTCCTTTCTCATAGATCAAACCAATTCTTAGCCAATAGCACACTCTTTGTTTTTGTTTTTTTGGTACCGGGGATCGAACTTGGGTCCTTGCGCTTGCGCAGCTGGCGGCAAAACCATTGAGCTAAATCCCCAGCCCAGTAGCACACTCTTAATTACTATGGCTTCATAATGAGTCTTGATATGTATGAGGGCATGGCCCCCTCTGTTCATTTTTTAAATTGTACCAGCTATTCTTGGACTTTTACTCTTCTGTATGATTTTAGCATCAGTTTGTCAGGTTCCTTAATGAAAAATTTTTTTTGGTATTTTGTTGAGTTAAATGTACAGGTTAAGGGGGCCGGGGATTTAGGCTGGGGTTCCGCCACCTGCCTTGCAAGCGCAGGGTCCCAAGTTCGATCCTCAGTACCAAAAAAAAAAAGTACTGGTTAAATTTGGTGAACTGTGACATCTTTATTAAATTTAGTAATCCAATGCTTGAATGTTATTCTGATTTTTAAATATCTTTCAATAACATTTTATAATTTGTTTATAAGATGCTTGTGTTTATTTGCTAGGTTACCCCCCCACCCCAGGTATGTTATGGCTTTTGTTGCTAGTATAAGTGGGGTTTTAAAAAATAGGTTATTACTGCTGTTTGCAAATGCTATGGAGTTTTGGAATAATTTTATTGTAAAGGCAAACATGCTGGCCATTCTTATTAAATAGTTTATTTGTAGATTCTTTTGTCTCTTCACTTAAATAATCACAGTATCTGTAACTAACATTCCTGATACTGTTTTCCCTTTCTTACCTCATTGGGTGGCCTGGGACCTCCCACAGAAAGGTGACAATGAGCTTTATTTTCCTATTTCTATTGCATAGAGAGTGTTTCTAATAATGTGTCATCATTATCATATCTGTTGTGAGTTTTTGGTAAAAACCCTTTATCAAGTTAGGGTAGTGCTCTTCTAGCCCAGCTGTGTTTAAAGTAGGAATATTTTAAATCATAAAATAAATATTGAATTTTATTACTTTTTCTAAAACACAGAGATGGTTATAGGTTTTACCTTTGATAAATAACAATGTGACAGGTAACATTGATAGATTTTTCTAATGTTAGCTTCATGTTGAATTCCAAAGTAAATCCTGTTTTGTCATTTGGTACTTTTTTTTAATATGTTGCTTCATGTAATTTGTGATTTTTAAAAAATTATAGCATCTTGTTCATAAGTATCATTGGCTTATAATTTACATTTCTTGCAAAGTCCTTGTCCATATTTGGTGTTGGGTTACACTGCCTTCATAAAATGCATTTAGGAATTTCCTTCGTTTTCTATATCCTGTGATGGTTCATATGAGATTAGGTTATTGTATTATTTCTTTGAATGTTTGGTAAATTTCTTCTGTGAAGCCACCATATTTTAAAAATTCAACTAAATTTCTTTAATTTAGTTATTCTTCAATTAATTTTGATAATTAACATTTTTCTTAAAAAATTAGATATATTTAAATATTTAAAATTTTGGTAGTTTATATTCTTTTATTCTAAGATATAACACAGTATCTGTAGTCATGTTCTATTTTTCATTCTTGATCTATACTTGCCAATTCTTCCCTTTTTTTTGTCATAACAAAGGTTTTCTATATTTTTAGATAAACCTATAAATGTTTGTTTACAGTCTTCAAATGGGCAGCTTTTATTGACCATATTTCTTTTAAAATATATTTATTTAATTTTTGTGTTTATCTTTATTAATCCCTGATATTTTCATTGAACTTAATATGCTACTCTTGAAAAAAAGTTTTTCACATTATATTCCTAATACATTAATTTCCAATCTTTCTTTTCTTTTTTTTTGG